CTTTCGTCGAAAAAATAATTAGGATAGAAAGAGTAGTTCAATTGTTACTTTCCTTAATTAATGTTGTTTCTTATTCTATCAAAAAAAATTAATGTTGTTTGTTTTGGGCGATACCAAGTTTAAAAGGAATCTCAGTATTTCTTGCCAAGAGAGGAGGTTAATGATTAAAATACCTTATATTTGGTAAAAAATTTGAACTCTAAATCCTTTATATTATAGGACAGGGACTATGATCTAATAAGTATCAAATAGATTTAATTTGGTATTAGACATTGAATATCAATACTCAAATACAGATAGGTCTAATATCTCAACGGAACCAAATGAGTACACATGGGTTTGATCTCTAAGGGCATATTTGTTCCCCGCACGTCAATCTGATCCCTGCATTGGGCCGTGCGTATAGATTTCTAAAGAGAAGGATATTAGAACAACTCTAGTAGAACCCCTACTTGAGTCATCAAAACCAAATTTAAGGGTCGGAGCAGAAAAAAATGAGCTCATAGCAAGCCCCCTATTAGAGCCCTCAAATTGGAGGGCCCCTCTCACTGGGCCCTCGTTCCTTGAGGGTTTGGAGGGAGCCCCTGCTTTACTATTGGGGTCGTTGAAAGCTCGCACCCATACGGGTCTGTCCCTCGCGTCGTCCGGGAGCAACGCTTCGTCACCGTCGACCTTCCTCTTGCCCCCACAGCACTATCCCGTGGCGTCGGCCACCATCTCGACACCCACAGCGACAACCACCATCGCAATGCCCCTCCTCCACCCAAATTCGGCGGGCACTCCCTCCCAGCGTGCGGCTACCTCCAACGACGATCTTCCTTCCATTGGTGTCGCACTTCGCACCCTCCTCCGGCGAGTGCATCCTCGAGCGTCCGCCGCTTGCCGCGAGTTATGGGCGCCTCCACCTCTTCCCCGCGCCTCTTCGCACGAGTCGCGAGCGCCTCCGTCTCTTCCCGCGAGTCATGAGGCAAGCCCCGACAAGCGGATCTCACCCTCCTGCCTCTTCTCCACATGTATAGCTAGTTGATAGAGCGTAGAGAATGTAAGCAGACCCCTTGTGTCGGTATCTATCAAAAGGGATTTGTGGGCTCTTGCTAGAGCATATACAAAGAATTAGATCCTAAAATGAGGGGAACCCTCAAATCAAGAGTAGAGGCCCTGATTTGAGGGCTCGAGCTAAAATTACTCTTAGGTTCCTCACATGTGCTGTTCGAGCCTGGCTCTGTTGGTGCAAAATATAGAGACATCCTACATTCACTCGCATGTGACCAAATTGGCAGCCTTCATTGTTGAGGACGGCCCAGCGGATGCTCGTTGTACTATAGACCATCCCAAATAACATCTCAGTTTTTTTTCTTCCGCTTATGCGACCTCACCAAACATTTTATCCAAAAATACGATTCCACTCGTCTTCTTCCTCTCCCCTCATCCAGGATATACTATGCAATTCCATCCTCCAATCAAACACACCGTAAACGTATTCGAAATTGATACCGTGAAATATCGGTACCATTTTGAACCCTATCTTCACGTACCAAGTGGCAAGTGGTGGACAGCTCGAGTGAGTTCAATCTCTCTGTAAATTCTCAAAAAAAGGTTCAATCTCTCTGTTTTTTTTGGAGTTCTTAGGCAGTGCGGTGGATTGAAAAAGCTTATGATTTCATCATCCGACTCTGCATATATGCATGTGCTAGAGAGAGAGAGAGAGAGCACGTTGACCTTAGGCATGGCATGGCAATGTGCACTGCACCATGCATGCCCCATATAATATACAGTAGCTAGTAAAATAAAAGATTGGAAAAATTTGAGAAAGAAGGATGTTCCTCAAATAATCCACATCTGCATAGTCATAGGAGGACGAGAGAGCGACAGGGCGTTGTGTGGTGTGCGTGCGTGAGTTATCAGCAAGATCACGAACCTTCAGCTACAGCGACTGGTTAGTTGCTCTCAAGCAAATTAGCAACCATCCATGTACAGAGGAGTATATATCTCATTAACAGCTTGAAAAAGCTACGAGAGCGAGCCCTGGTACAGTTCTCGTCTGCGCAAGGGAAAAAGGGACCGGTCTCTTTTTCCTCACCTACTCCGTAATTAATAAGATAATTATCTTAGGTTTTGTCAAAGAATTAAAATGTCTTTTTTTGTTTACCTTGGTCTTTTCATTAGGAATTAATTAACAAATCTTGTTATGTATTTTCTCTGTTAGATATAGATATTAATATAGATTAGGTAGTACAGATATAAATATAGATACATAACAAATCTATGCATGAACTATATATTTATATATATATGTACTGCCTAATCTTATATTAATACCTATATCTAATAGAGAAACTATATAACAAATCTATACATAATCTATATGTATACTATCTAATCTATATCGATATATATCTTATATACATAATATTAAAGACCAAAAATATCTTTGTTCCATCTCTCACTCTCCCCATCACTCCGTCCCTCACTCCTCTTCTGTTCCTCGATCCGTCGTCACTCACTATCGTCCTTCTCGCTTTTGAGTTTGAAACTGCAAAACCTTCATTGGCGCCGCATCCGACTCATGTCATGGCCTAGCCATCCTAAGCCCACTTTGCATCACGGTGCGTGTGGACATGTGGTTCGCCTTCACCTTTCTTAAACCCACGATAGATGCACACAACAACCACCTATGTAAGTTAAGTCCTGTTTGTTGCTGCTGCTACTTATAATCAGATTAGTGTTGAAAAAAATGAGAATCCCACCAAAGGCATCGATTATTGTGGATTTTTCTGACCACCACTTTAGAACTTTGAACTAGCATATTGATAATCGAGAATTAAAATTAAAACATCTTCACGGTACAGTCATATAATTGAATCGATTATAAGTAGAAACAAACAGTGTCAATGTCTTATCAATTTTCCATATGGAATTAATCCTTTATTACACTAGCATTTACTATCGGCCTGGGAGGATATTTGATTTAAGGTTGAGCCAAGCCCAATTAAATCTAACAAAACAGCTAGCATATTACCATTGGCACGAACACCATGCAACAAATTGTACATCGCAACACATGGACATGTTGGCTAGTGTATATAAAAATATTAATATTTGTGAGGTGTAATAAATACCATTAGATTAATCCATGGAATATGTTTTTATAATAAATTTATTTAAAGATACAAATATTAATGCTATCTTATAGATCTAATTAAATTTGGGGTTGTCTCGAAAGTGAGATTTCAATTCTTTTTTTGATGGACAACTGACAAGAAATTTGTCGAGAGCATATACTAATAGAGAAGAAGTAGATACACGAACAACAAGTGGTGGATGACGACGTGCGGTGGCGTTGGTGGGTTCGTTGCAAGAACAAGGTGTGGGTTTCGGGTACAAGAATTTCGAGCAAAAGCTCTGTTTGGCTTTCTGCCATGTTGACATTGGTGACACCTTTGTGGCCAGACTCCTTGTAGACCTTGTCACGAGGTGTCTAGACCCATATCCTATTTGAAAAACCTAGGTTCTCTGATCGATGGCGGCATCTGCAGATGTCGCTTACCTCATTAGAGGGCATCGCAGTGGAGAACCCCGCCCCATATCTTTGATGTGACTTTGCAGGGAGTGCTTTGGTGTACTATTTTGTTTTTTGAACTCCATGTACTGTTTCTTTTTTGGGTGTTTATCTTGACTGACGTAGCTTCATTTCGTGAGATCTCATTTTTTTTTAAGAATGGAGCAAATATGCGGATGGGCACATAGCCCAGCGGTTAAGACTCCAAGGAGGAGCCGGCCGGTCGGGGTTCCAACCCCTGTTCCCCACCAGGCCTCCAAAGAAGGCCGCGCCATTAAAAAAAACAAAAAGAATGGAGCAAATATGTGGCAGAGCATATATCTAAGCCGGGCCAGGCCTCGAGCAAAGAGAAAAAGTATTTAGGCCTTGGTCAAGAGAGAGAAAAAAAGAAAGAGATACCAAGGAAATATGCATGTGGGAAGGAGAGGGACCGAGTGAGGGCTCGGACGAAGGTTTAAAGTTGTTTTATTATTCTCAAAAAATGCATTTTTTTGGTAATAAAAATGGAAGCTCCCAAGTGCGGCCTAGATAGCGTCACAGCAATAGCAGCCTGGGTTAGTGGCTCGTGTCTACACTCGTTGACTCGTGCACGGCGGCCCCATTCCCCTTCTCTCCCAACTCCCAAGCAGCTGCCAGGCCGTCGCCAACGTCGAGCAGCCGCCCGTCGGCCCTGCGGCTGAGCCTGCGCCCTAGCTCGCCCCCGGCACCCGAACAGCAACCTCCCTCTCCTGTCTCCTCCAGTGCCGTGCCCCTCAGGGCTCGGGCCATGACCAAAGTGCAAACTCAGCCCCGCCAGATCCCGTCAGCGGCGCGGAGGAGCGATGGTGGCAGCCGGAACGACGGCAGCGGCGTGGAGGGACGCAGGGGCGGCGCAGCCGCGGACTCGCTCAGGTCAGAACTTGCAGGCTGATGGTCGGGAGCGGGCCGAGCAGAAGGCTTCGGGTATTTTGTCCCAACCGAACCTGACCCGACCCATCCCTCATTTCTGAATTTGTTTAATTGATTGATTGAAACTAGGTGGGCTTGGGGTCAACGGACGCCACGCGGTTTCCGATCGATCATCTTCTGCGAAGTTTCGATCAACGCGGTTTCCCTTTACAATGATTTGTCGGCCTGTTGGGGATCGGGCTAAAACGGATACTATACGAGTGCCCAAACTTCTTCAGCCGGTGGTTTACTCTGCTCTAGCTTGTAAGTTCTCAGCGTTGTTTGCAATATACCGTAGACTGTTCAGTTTGTATCCTGTCTGATCTGATTGAGGAAAACAATATTTAGGAATCGTAGCTTCAGCTCTTCTCTACAAGCACGGCGACCACGTAATAAAGGTAAAAAAGTTGCAAAAAGGTAAAGAGTTTCATCTCCACACTACTGTTTCTCATCTTGCATCAGCTTTTATCTTGTCCACAGGTGCATAGAGGAGGCAGCACTGAGTACATGATCGATGGCACTATGGAACGGTCTCAGCCAGGCTGCCACCGTCGCACAGCTGGCTGGAGTCGACGCTGGTGGCCTCATCACCATGATTGTCCAGGCAGTGCAAACTGTTCGCCGGAACAGGGAGGAGTGCCAACACCTTATGCACCATGTCATGATGATCGGAGATCTCCTACAAATGCTTCAGCAGTCAGAGACGATGCAGCGCCCAGAGATCCGGAGACCGCTGGACGGATTGGAAGACACACTCCGGCAGGCGTACACGCTAGTCGTGTCCTGCCAGCAGAGCAACACCATGTATCGCTTCCTCATGGCAGGAACTCAAGCTCAGAAGTTCCGTGACATCCGAGATAGAATTGATTCATATCTCGGCTCTACCTTTGGTCAGCCACATCGACACAAGAGAGTTCATAACTAGACTTTACAGCCGTGCACATCCTTCCCAACCACAGGTATAAATGTTGAAGTAGTTGTATCATAACTTAGTGTCTGCACTATTGTTCCCTGCGGTTTTAGGACTTTCTCTTGTTGAAGCTGGTGAGTCCTTGACTCAAGGACCACTTCCTTGTACTGCTGTACATGCCCACCGTAGGTTTTATACTATACTATGAAAATACTTCAATGGAATCTCTGTGTTTCATTAATGTGAATGCTTATACTGAAGGGATTCTATCAAAAGTTTGAAAAAACTGATAGGAGTCAAGTTGGGATTTGTTTGTCATCATATTCCTCATATGAGATTCAGGTTGCCATTTCAAGCAGCAGATGAGATGTTTGGGGTTGTTTGCCTCAGATTGAAGCATTAGGTGTCCCTCAACAGAGTTAGCATGAAATTTGGTCCTTAGTAAATTGAGGCAAAACTAAGCATAGGAGTGTTACATTTTATTTATTAATCAATTAATATGCACAGGAATATGACCATATATGAATTTTTACATACTTCTTGTCTAATTTGCGTCAACAGGTCTACTTGAACGTTTAAGGATCCAACCTGAACAAAATGCATTTTTGCTTGAAGCTAGAACAAATAAATGTTTTATTTATCCTACCTCACATTGTCATCATTCATTCACATAATTACAGCCAACTCCTGGTTCTTCTATATTGTCAATTATTCTAAAATCCTAAGATGCTTTGTCATTTCAGGCTTCAGAAGAGGCGCCGGAGTCATCTGGGAGCCATGTCAACCCTGACTCCCGGTACAGTGTCCACAATACCAAGTTTTCTCCTTTATTTTGTGATCATATCCCACATTTGTCCCTACATTTTACATTGCTTGATGTGTTGGCATAGTAAGAGGAAGTTTCTTTAAGCAATGTAAATGTCATTCATTTACTTGTCTAGTAACCAATGTGTACCGTACATTTCGTATCTGCTTTAGTAAGATGGTGTCTGTTGGATTGGGAAGAATTTAGGGTAATTGTAAATTTGCCAACTTTAATTGTTACTGCAATCTTGCCCCTAAAAATTTGCAAACATGCCAACAGAAATGCCTTTTGTTTGGCATTATTGCAAAAAAAAAAAAAACAGTGGCAATTTGGCAAATGCCCCTATTCTTTATGTCTTATGGGAACTAGATTCTTGTTAAACTTAACTGTTAACTAACGATTAGTTATGACTTGTGATAGATTAGAGGACAGCTGTAGAAACATGTTACAGATCACATATCGTTGTTTCTATACCTTGATAACTGTAATAGACGTGTCCCAGAAAACAATTTGCCAAATTATTTTATTTTAAAGGCTTTGTTGTTGTTGTTGTTGTTGAAAATTTATTAGCTTTTAGTGTTTAATAGCATGACAGTTTCAGGACCCATGGAAGTGCCTCTGATTACCATGGCATTGAACCAGTAGGAGTTACAGCAGTAACTGAGTCATCTGTGTTGGAAGAACAACAAACAAATGGTATTTCCTTTAACGATGCTTATGAGCATGACAGATCTAGAAAGTAAAACCATATACTCTAAATTACCAGATCAACCTCCAAATTATATTGTTATGTGTTATTTCCTTTCACAGTGAAAATTGAATTATTCATTTTTATCTGCTATTTCTCGCTAGCATCGATATATCATAGTTACATCAATTATTTGTAGGCTATGACAATGCTGAAGTGTTGCCAAAACACGAGGCATCGGTTTAGGTGGCCTTTTCATTGGGCTCAAAGGAGACAACGACGCTTGAATACCTCCAGAGGCTCCTTGGTCATGAACAAGCAGGTAGCCTGCAAGAAACATGAAGCACTTATCACTAAATTGCATCAATCGTAATTGTCATGCATCTTTTGAAGTAAAAATTAAACCACAGTTATCATGTACTTCTACAATGCAAATAATAGAAAGGCATTCCCTACTTGTACTATGCAAACATGTACCACTGGTTTTGAATCTTAATTGTTTCTGACACTTTGAATTTCCTTTTTGCCATTGGCTCTCTCTGTGAAACAAGGTTGTAAACCCCATCCGCCAAAGGGGATGAGCTTTTAATAACTAGCAAGATGAAAATTACCCAAAGTGAAATAAGTGCTCAGTATTCCTGCTGCATTACCAGGTGAGAAGAAAGAAATGTACTGAGCAATGTTTCTTGCTGGTTCTTTTCCAGGAGGGCTTACGGCTTTCAAGTTCTCCGAGCTGGCTAGATCTACAAATAATTTCTCATCTAACAATATAATTGGAAGTGGTGGTTTTGGTAATGTTTACAAGGTATCTTACATGCTTTTATTTTGTTCTTATAATTATGAAAAAGACTTTTTTTCTATATTCATGTTGAAGATGTTAAAATGGTCTTGGCATAATCAAGATCTTGCTTAAGCCTAAACATGACCACTAACATATACTCAGTGTGGAAATTAGAGGCTTAAATACTTTTGAATGCCATTAGTGCCTTTGTAGCAGATGCTGATGTAGGTGTAATGGTCTTCACCAAACTTTAGAACTCTCTGTTGATGTTCCAGTGTAGATTTGTCCTCCAAGGCATGACCTCCTACCCTTGATGTGAAATCAAGCTTCCAAACCTTCCAGAGCCCTAATTGACCGGTTGTAGATGTAGATTGGCATGCTAATCATATTTAGGTTGTAAGCCACCTCTTATTTATAGGTGTGGGGGATATACCCCGGGTACCACAAGATGGTACATGGGCCGCACCATCCGAGGTGGCCCGGCCTGTAAGATCAAGGCGTACATGGCAATATTACAAGTTGTACTAGATATTGTAAATAGTACCAAATAGGATACTTTACTTGTAACCCTCCTCCTCCAGAGTATATAAGGAGAGGCAGGGGTCCCCTAGCGGGGGAGGTTAATCTGTATACATCTCAATACAATACACCAAAGACACAGGACGTAGGGTATTACGTCGACCAGACGGCCCGAAACTGTCTAAATCGCTGTCTCTGCGCCTTGTGTCACCATCTGGTTCCTGATTACATGCACCGTCTACCGATAATCTACCACCACGGGCGACCCCCTCGGTGGACTGCCGACCATATTTCGTCGACAATAGGCTTTGTGGAACTGGGGTTGACTCCTAGATGCCTTTGGGTTACAGCTAATCATGGTGAACTAATCTAAACAGATTATAGGCACTTATTCGTGGACCTAAACTCATCTGCCTTGTCGTTGGACATAGTTTTTGGCTGAGATCATATAACAACATTTTCCCACTTGATCAAACAGATGACAACTTTATGCTCGCATTAACTTATGTTCAGATCAATGCGTAGTTAGTAGCATTTTTTGCTATGAGGACTCCTATTATCCATAGTTCCCTGCAATACCTAGTTAGAACACTTGTTTACTTATTAGGAGTTGATGATATGGCCTGTACCCAGGATCATTAAAACCCATATTGATTTATGCGCTTCTAAATGGAATGACTGGTAAGCCTTAGAGCAACTCCACGAGATCTCTTATATTGCATCTCCTATAAGTTATTTTTGTATAGTCCCTTAAAAATCAATTTAGAATATAGGAGAGCACTGCTCTAGATTACCTAAAACTTGTCTCTGTTTGTTTAGGGTATGGGATAGGTAGTTGTCTCCTTTATTTAGGAGAAAGGAGGTTATTTTTAGGAGACCTCTTAAAAATGGTATCAGAGATGAGATAGGAGATCTGCTGCAGTGCCTCCATCTCCTAAAATGCTAGTTTTAAGGTATAGGAGAATCGATAGGATATCTGGTGAGCTTGATGACATTTCATTCCCTTTCAATATCGCAAGAATCTATAGCACCTTTCTAGTCGATCTTTTCTAGATTAAATTGATGTTTTGCCAAGTATTCTTAATGCAATGATACGTAGTTCTCCTGCGTGTGTGAGAAAAAAAGATGTTTTACCAAGTATCCCGATTTGTAAATACCAAGTCAAGACTAGTATAGAATATTTGTTCATATAATGAAGTTCTAAACCATAGAGAGCTATGAGCTTAGCTTTAATCTTTCAATATTGTCCATTAAGAGTTATAGACCTATTTATATCCTACTGTTTTGACTCCATTAGGATTTCTATTAATGCCCATTCTTTATTTATGCTTATAGACTTAACTTAATAGACTCAATATGCTCGGCTGAGTTTCATCTGATATTTTCACCAGTGGTAATTTTCTTATAGGTTAATTAGTAGTCACAATGGATTGGGTAACAATCGAGGCTCTTTAATTGTGCCTCAAAATCAACTAATTATTAGTTGGTACATTTTCCTATTGTGGTTCCTTAATTGACTCATTAGAATCTTCAATAGAAATTGTACTAGTTTAAACGGAGTTATACAAACTTGTGGCACAAGATAAGACGTTAAAAGTTTTCTTGAATCACTGGTACAAGAAACTAATCATGCATATCTTCAAGATTTATACTACTTTAGGAACGTAATCTATTTTTATCTTAACAACTAAGCAAAACAATAAGAAGACATCATCAAACTAAGACAGAAGCTACTCGCTGAATCTAATGTAAAGCTCCAATATATTGGACTCAACTTTATTTCCATCAGCGCTTTCATCTTTAGACTTCGGTCCCCTCTTTCTTATGGTTTGGCATTACCTGTAGGAAAATTGGAAATATGTATAATTGCACCTGAGTCAGTCCACCATATTTTTTTTTCTCAAACAACATAGGAAAACTATGTGTCATTTCATTTAGTAAAGAAAAAAAAACCAAAGGAGAGGCAGAGCCAACTCCCCTAGGCCACTTAGTACAAGACTAATTGCGCTACACACAGTTCTCTCGTAGGACACCTATTAGGAGAATTGAATTTAAGGGAAAACTAATGAGGCAACTTTTATTACCCTTCTTTTGAAACCATTCTTTAAACTTAGCACATGATTGTTGTTTCTTCTTATTAAAAAAATTCTTTCTTTTTTAAATTCAGGTATAAGACCATTGACTTAAATGAGTAAATTTTTCTTAATACCTACTTTTTCAAATATTTGATTGCCTTGTAACAACATGATGGAAAATTCCTACTGTCTTTGTATAGCCAATATTTGTTCTATAGTACCTTTTAGAAACAGGATGCTAATGAATTCAACAATATTCCTTTTAGAAACAAGATGCTAATGACTTTGATTACTCAAACTATGAAGCTTAACAGAATGATAGCCACATGTGAATTACATTAATAGACTTATTAATAGATGTAACTCTATATCCTTTTTTTCCAAACACGCAGGGGAGCTGCGTATCATTGCATTAAGAAGAAGTTGAACAGGGTTGAAGAAACCCTAACAAACCCACACAAAACATGTGTCCGGAAGCACATGCACTCCACACTAGCTTAATTAAAAAACTAAAACTCAAAAAATCAGGAGAGAACGACCCTAGACCAGACAGACAAAAAACAAATCATCGTGTTTCTTCTTTGCTAGCATGGGACTGGAAACAGAATGGTAGTCAATGTTGTATAATAGAGACCATGCTGATCACAAAATGAAGAGTAGTAAATAGAATAGAAGCTGAATTTGAAAACAACGGGGTAGGGTTTACTAATTTTATATAGATGTAACTGATAAGTTCTGGACTGCAGAGGCGCTACTTAGCTGAAGAAAATTATTTGTCAACGCTTTTAGTCACAGAGGAGCCTATTTATAAAATTCTTTGTTCCTTCGCACAATTCTTTTTAGCATGTTTTTTTCTAGTATGAAAACAGATTCACATTATTTATAGCCTTGGCACTAAATTTCTTTAATAAACCCTATAAAGATGGATATGCGTTTAGAGATACCATAGAGATAATCTTCGTATGATAAGAACATGATCGGCAGTTGCATCTCTGCAGAGGGGCCGTTGTATTATTTATACAATATACACACTCAATTATTGAGTATTTACATTTTAAGCACTGACAAAAAAGAATGCTTGTGACAGACATGTTTTTTCTGAAGGAGAGAACACCTCATTATATGTTTCTGCCTCATTTCCTAGTTTGGTTTCAGAGCAAAACATACTCAGTTCAATTCTGTTCCAAGTTTGAGTCGTATCTTATTACTCTTTGGTCTTATTTTGTGATCATTGTACTTCCTGTTTTGAAGACCTTTGCACAGTTATTTTGATTAATTACTAATATATAAAAGCCCCTCCCTACTGTTGTCCTAAAAAAGAAAGTAACATGCATTTCATTATAGCGTCTTCGTTATGTTTGTAGAGAGCAGCGATAAAATCATTTCACACCAACCTATACTGTTTGAGAGACCACTCAAAGTTATCTTTGCTGTTTTCCTAGCCACTTAGTTGTTTGCTGCTTATTATTGTTTTTTCATTGTCCTTTTTTCATTTTTATTATGCAATATCTGTTTAAGTTAAATCTTTTATACAAAAAATGCTTCATATACATGATCTTCATTGGTTAAACGCCTCAATAAAATAGATGAGTTAATCATATTTGTACTTGTTTTCCTCCTCAGGGCATATTGCCAAGTGGGGTTTGTGTTGCAGTAAAACCCTAAGTAAACATTCCAATCAGGGCACACGTGAGTTTGAAAATGAGGTTTATATTATCTCAAGACTCCAGCATGCAAATATAGTTAAACTTCTGGGATGCTGCATTGAAGGGGACAATCGAATTTTAGTCTATGAATATATGGCAAGAGGAAATTTACACTATATAATTCATGGTACAACTTGCCTCAGTGATTTCCTTGAGTTACAGTTCATTCACATTTGCTGTCTTAATTTGCCCTGTCAAAATGCTTTCATTGTTGCAGAGCTGAGAGCTGGTGTCTCGCTTGCCTGGCCTATATACGATTTAGGATAGTTGAAGGTATTGTCCAAGGTGCTTGTTATCTACACCAACACTCCCGACTACGAGTAATTCATGGGGATCTAAAACCAAAGAATATTCTCTTGGATTGTGATATGACCCCTAGGATTGGTGATTTTGGATTGTCTGTAGTCTTAAGTTCAGATGAAGATGAGCAAGAGACTATGCCAGCCGGGACTCTGTAAGTGTACATCTAATGCTCTAGTCGACCATGAAGCTACCAATGACAATGTAAAGGGTGCATCTAACGCACATAATGTTTTTGGTCTTGCAGTGGTTACGTGGACCCTGTGTTTATGCACACAGGCATTATCTCAATCAAGAGTGATGTGTATGTCTTTGGTGTCAATTTTCTCGAGATAATCACTGCACAACATGCTACGATAGAAACCCCCTTGCCTGTTTATGTAAGTATACACTTGATGTATGTAAGATTGTGACCTTAGCGTGCAATAGTGCTTCTAGCCAATATCTCTTAGTATGTACTAGTGCCACAGTGAAAACACCTTCCCTGCGTTAGAATACACCTCAGTTTACTATTCATTTCTATTTTATATGCTTCCCATTTTATCAGTAACATTTATTTTGACTGCTAGATTTTTTTTTCATTTGAGACGAGAACTTTTGCAGGCTTGGGATTTATGGTCTTCCGGAAGAGCAATGGAACTGATAGATTTATGGTCTTCACTGCACGATGAGCCCCAAATGAACTCTATACTTCGATGCATTCAGATAGCACTGCTGTGTGTTCAACGGAACTGGGCAGACAGGCCCACCATGGCAGATGTTCTGTTTATGCTGAAATGTGAGACTATGACCTTACCTGTCCCTGGGCCTCCTGCAGCACATACATCAGGGCCAGTATTATCGGGTGGATCAGCAAATACCAGTGGAACAGCAAGCAGTACAACCTATGCAAGTGCAGAGTCTGACGACTGAAGAAGAAGAGGATACCTCATACAGTCATACTTCAGCTAAGTGTTTTAGATAAATCTTATACTCCTAGGAGTACATAAATAGTCCATGAGGCTCAATCTATAAATCGACCACATTAAACCAATTCTATTATTTTTTCTATATGGTATCCCAAGTTCAGGTTCGCATCGTGAGACTTAATGGGATTAAAACGAATCACACCTAGATCGATTAAGCAGCTCTTGGGTATACCATCATTGGAGGAAGTAATGGTCATGGGATCTAATATAGCGCTGATGACAACGTGTCCGCTTGGACACCATAGAAGTAAGGTGGTACCGGCATCCGTGTTGGTACGGAGAAGTTGTCGAGGCACCAGCCTTCCTGAGCACACAGAGAGAATCAGACTGTTGGTTGGGGAGTAGTTAACATCACTGGAACGATAGTTCCACATAAAGACGAAGCGGCCCCTTTTATTATCCAAAACCATCACGTACGATTACCAATTGAACGGGGGAGACGCAACGAGTCAGATAGAGCTAGAGAGATAAAACGTATGAGTTTGTACTCAGGGCACAGCGCATGCACGAACGCTCACTCAAGTGACTGTTAAAAGGTGTTAATGAGGTCTTGTTTCGATCCACCCAATTAATAGTTAGCTACTAAAATTTAGATGTCGATTCAAACATACCCAGCAAAAAACATAAACTAAGGGTCTCCTTGAGCACTTTCTCCATGATAATCATTTCTACTCACCAAATAGCAAAAACACATTATGGTGGAGACCAGACAAGAATCACTTCTCTATTCTAACCTAGGAGAACCCGCTCCTCACTGCTGCCTATTCAATCCCTACCAAGAATCACGTCCCACCGGCTAACTAAACAATTGTGTGTGTGTGTTGTGGACATGCATGTCGGCCTGTTCGCTGGTTGGTTTCTGGGCTGGTTTGAGCTGAATGGTGCTGGTTTATTGTGAGAGAAAAACACTGTTGGCTGGCTGGTTTGGGCTGACTGAAACCAACAAGCGAATAGGGTGATGTACAATACCTTAATCTTAGTATCACTAATAATCAACAGAAATGCTATATCACACCCATGTGTTTTAGAGCAATCCAACACATGATTTTAAGGCCGTCTGATCTTCCCCAGCTCCAGCACGCCTTCTTCCGATCTGTGCCCGCGCCACCACTGTGGCCTCGCCGCGCCGTGCCCGTGCCCGTGCCCGTGCCCGCCCATGCCCGCGCCACCGCTGTGCCCGTGCCCGCGCCGCCGTGATTTGTTGCTTGTGATTTGTGCCGACACAGCCGCGATTTGTCCTCATCCTTTCATAGAAAAAAATGTTTGTTGTGATATGAGATTTGTGATTTGTTGTTGCTTGTGATTTATGCCGACATAGCCGCGGCCAAAGGCGGGGCGGCCGACGGCGGCAGGGGCGAGTTTGTGCAGTGTGTTTGGAGGTAGAAGAAGGCTGGAGGCTGAAGGTAGAAGAAGGCTAGAGGCCATTGGATCTTCATCCTACGGTTCAAAAAAAACCATGTGTTAAAACCGCATAAAATATATGGTTATGCAGTAGACAGACTCCCACGTTAATCCTCACAAGACACTAGAAAATATATCAGCCTGTTGATTCGGTAGACTCTAACCATCTTTCTGAATATTGTTATTAGACCTATTTTGTTTACTAAAATGTCACAAACTTATGTCATTAATATAGTCTGAGGGATATGGTTACAATAGATCCAATTGGTTTACAGATATTTTTCCTAGTCGGTTACTTACATGGAAAGCATAACAAAATAATCTACTGTATCTCTGTAGGAGCCAGCATCCAAATCTTCCTTGTAGGTTTTTTTGTCCACCAAGTCTAACGACATATCCTAATTCTGGCGGGCCTCATCATTGTTATATTTTGTTCTTTGATCCATGCTTTGCTCAAAGGTTTTTTTGATCTAAGGAACAAATATGTTTTTTATTGCAGACAGGACATATAACTTACTCCAAAATGAGAAATAACTATGAGGCACGGAGGCTGTATGACAGAATTTTCAATTCTAAACTTAATTAATCTTGAATGCCGAAACTGTTGTGGAGTTTTTCTAGCTAGTTTTTTTTCCTGTGGATTATAAGTATTGCGTGCTATTTCTAAAGTGCATGATGCTAATTTATATTCTGTCATACAGCCCTCGTGCCTCATAATTTATTTCCCAAAGTTTCTAAATAATGGGTTGACCACCGAATTAGACAAAATTCGGAAAATTCGGACCGGTATCCAGGGAAAAATTGAATGAAATTTGAGCAAATTTGAACAGAATTTCTCCAAACAGTCAAACAAGGTCGTGGGCATGGAGAGGGTGCATCCGGTGGCGGCTTGCAATGCACAGGCGGCAGGGAGGGCAGCAACGACACCGGCACACGCAAAGTAACCACAGCGTCGCGTCGCCACGCCGGCACCGGCGCCAGCGCCGTCGCCACCGTCCTACTTGCTGCTGGCCGTGGTCCACACCGGCGGAGCCACGTTATGGCCATAGAGGGCTCCGGCCCCCCCCTTGCCACGCAAAAAAGAAATGAAGATCTATGCTGTTGTGCAGCGTATCTGTGTTGTTGTGCAGGTCTGGATGGCTAGGCTAGCTAATTCAGCCCACAAGGCATAGGCGATGGGTCACCGACCATATGCAAGCCAGCCCATTATGCACGCAGTGGTGGCACCTGGGACCTGGCATTGCTCAACATGCAAAGCAAAGGGGAAGAAAATAATCCATATCCACCGAGTGGCCAAGACGGCCGGTGGAGGCTCACAGACGACGATAAGGCGACGAGCCGGAAGCTAGAGGCCGGAGCTGTCGATGCCTCGCGGCGGCCTTCCCAGTTGACTCGCCGACTCGTCATCGGCCCGGGCCGGAGGGCGGCGGCGCTCCCACGCCCACGCTCGTTCGACTCTGTTTCATAGACCATGTAGTTTAGAACCAAAACTTATTTCTATGGAATTTCTCTATATGTTGTCTCGGATTTGACAAATGCCCCCCCCTATATTAGGGCTTCACGCCCGCCACTGGTGGTCCATGTGAGCAAGTGGGAGCTTCATGAACAAGGGACTCACGAAGAAGATAGATGGGAACGGTTGGAGATGGCTGTTGGGGAACATGGGAGGACTGGATGCTGAAGACGAGATCTGCTAACACCTCTACAGAATTGCTGCCGGCGGCCACCAGGGAGAAAGAGTAGGAACAAGTGTAAATTTAGGGTTTCTAAGAGGTGTTCAGGCATTTATAGTAGAGGTCGGGATCTCTGGGCTGGTTTGGGCCATGGGCCGTATTGAAAATTTAAATGAGGCCGAATTTTTTTTGGCCAGTTCATTTTTATTTCAGGCCCAACCAAAATGGACGAATTTTGGTTAAATTCGGTCCATTTAGGGCGAATCCCAGAACCGTGGGTTGAATACCTATTTCTTCACTGTGACTTTGCAAGAACCTTCTGGAACCTGATCAACTTCAGCTATCCACAAGATTTCCCAATACTACAGATTGTAGAAATATAAAAAAAAACAGTTTCAGCTGCCTTTTTTATGGACATATTTCATTCTTATGTGCTCGTATATTTGGACTGCATGGAATGACCTCATCTTCAAAGGACTTCATTCAAATCTGACAGCATGCCAAGCTCTGTTTGTCAGTGAACTGCTTCTATTTTTACACAGGGCAAAGTCCCCCATAGCGCCATTTCTCAAACTATGGATAGAAAGTCTCATGTAATTTACCTTATTTTTTCATTCCTTTTTATATTTTCTTATTAATTTTCTTCTCTTTTTCTTCTCCTCTTATTTTGTTTGAACTACCCATTTTTGATTTATACATATCTTAACCAGTAGGTGCCTCTCGTGACTTCTAAAAAAAATCCTTAAATAGATACATATAATTATATACTCTCTTTTTTTTTTTCTTCAAATTAAATTAGTTTCTAAAGTTGTCATAGGTCAAACTATTTTAAGTTTACCCAAAGTTAAAGAAAAGATCATCAATATTTAAGACACTAATTTAGTATTACTGGATACATCATGAAATATATTTTTACTTTATACTTATTTGGTGTCATTTTCTGAAATTGATTTATTTTGGAATAGAGGGGACTATACTCAAGCGAACGTGCATGCACGTGTAACCAACAGCTCTGAGCGTTGAAATTCTCGATTATAGTATATCAATTAGTTTGTCCTGCCCCAGATAACATATTATTAAAGTTTGCGGCATATATGCAGCTCGTGGCAGATTACTCCAGAATGGTCGATCGATGCCACTTACTAGCACAAACAAGCCTAGTAGTATCTTATTATATAATCTCTAAAACTTTTTAAAAAAATATATACTCTGTCCTCGTGGAGTTTTTTTTTTCCGAAGACCCTCGTGGAGTTATCTCTTCTCTTCTCTACAGCTAAAGAATACGTAAAAGTATCTTACCGCCCCGCCCTTTCCGTAAAAAAAACCATCCGAGCTCCGTAGGAAAAAAAAAAAAATCGCCCAAGAGCCCCTGTTTCCATTTTTCCCGTTCGGCTCGCCCTTTGGAGTCCACATAGGTAAGGGTTATCGTCGTTTGCAAACCCTGCATGCTCCCCTGAGAGTCCGGATCGACTTCGTCAAACAGAAACGTCAAGTACTACGGAAATTAAAAAAGCACACTTTACACCTTAACAGTAATGCACGAGGACTCCCCTATGCGGCGCTAATGTAGCGGTGGCGGCGGGCATAAACAGCGCAGCGGCACTACTGCCCCTTCAGCTCTATGGCCGTCGCCGCTAGTGCTGATGATGACGCGGACATGTCGGCGATCCTGGACACAATGTGCGTGTGGTGACGCAGACGATAGATCCGGAGATCTTCGACGTGAGCTTCGTCACTACTCACTACCCTGAAGATGATTTACTAGAACATGACGTGCTTGGGCTTCCAGTAGCACCGGCTCCGGCGAGGGCAACAACACCATGCATGTTCTGCCTTGGGCATGCAGTGCATGAGCTACCTCTCCGGCACT